ACCACGAATGAGCTATAACTGATATGTACATTAGCCATATAGCCGCAAATGAGCCACACACTGATATGTAAATTAGCCATATAGCCGCAAATGAGCCACACACTGATATGTAAATTAGCCGTATAGCCACAAATGAGCCACACACTGATATGTAAATTAGCCATATAGCCACAAGCTGATATGTAAATTAGCCATATAACCACGAATGAGCTATAACTGATATGTACATTAGCCATATAGCCGCAAATGAGCCACACACTGATATGTAAATTAGCCATATAGCCGCAAATGAGCCACACACTGGTATGTAAATTAGCCATATAGCCATGAATGAGCCACACACTGATATGTAAATTAACCATATAGCCACAAACTGATATGTAAATTAGCCATATAGCCACAATTAGCCACAAGCTGATATGTAAATTAGCCATATAACCACGAATGAGCTATAACTGATATGTACATTAGCCATATAGCCGCAAATGAGCCACACACTGATATGTAAATTAGCCATATAGCCGCAAATGAGCCACACACTGATATGTAAATTAGCCATATAGCCATGAATGAGCCACACACTGATATGCAAATTAGCCATATAGCCATGAATGAGCCACACTGTCATATGTACATTAGCCATATAGCCGCAAATGAGCCACACACTGATATGTAAATTAGCCATATAGCCGCAAATGAGCCACACACTGATATGTAAATTAGCCATATAGCCGCAAATGAGTCACACACTGATATGTAAATTAGCCATATAGCCGCAAATGAGCCACACACTGATATGTAAATTAGCCATATAGCCGCAAATGAGCCACACACTGATATGTAAATTAGCCATATAGCCATGAATGAGCCACACTGTCATATGTAAATTAGCCATATAGCCGCAATTAGCCACAAGTTGATATGTAAATTAGCCATATAACCACGAATTAATTAGGCTCAGTCAAGCAAGTTAATTTGCACACGTTATATAGAAAAGTCAAAGCAGCTCTATTTATGTGCATTTAGAACAACAGTAGAAGGCTATACAGCATGGAACCTTCCTGCTTCAAAGTGCAGTAAATGTTGGTGCCATAACATTTATGAGCACAAAAACATAGGAAAAAATCACCTAGATATTTAGCAAAGATGCTAATTGCTCAATTACCTAGCAGTATCATAAGTATCTATTCAGATGCCTAGCAACATTCTAAAATGCTGTGTAGCTCAATATCAAGCAATTCGGACCATATTTCTAGAGGGCGTGTACTTAGCAACACAGAGGCAGCCATTTTGTACTAGATATTCCCGCTCAAATTTCAAAGCCATAACTTAATTACAATTTCTATTCATGACACAGTTCATGACTACCCTAAAGTGAAATCCAAAAGTGAGTCAGAAGGCAATCATTGTTGATTCAATTGAGTTCGTGTGAGCCAAAAAGGATTTATGGTTCATGTTTGACTACCCTAAAT